TGAATGAACGCTATCACTAGTTGTTGTTGTTACTTGTAACAGTAAAAAGAAGCTACCACAACTGATGAAGATATGTTTAATTGGAATATCTTGTTGCTTTAAGCAAATCCCAACATTATAATTGAGCACTGTTTGATTGCAACTTTTTTTAATATGTAAAATGCAGGGATTACACCTCAACTCAACAGGAATACTAGGTATTTTGTATGGTAAATAATTTATACTTCTTGCACTGTTGAGATCTGACTAAACCATCTAGTTTACATGCCATATTAGTCGAGCCTACTATATGTCTGGGACACTCACTCTTGGGAGTACATCTACCAAGACTCCGTGGGGTGGGGTGACACCTGGCTTGGCTTTCCATGAGTTTAAAAAATTCCGTCATTATGATTAACAAACAAGATTAAATCTCCCCCCCCCCAAAAAAAAAGGCGGCAAAATGGCTTAAGAAATATTTATATTTTTGCCTCCACAAACTACCAACTTTGGATAAAATGAGCTTTCTATCGTGATGTTCATCTTTATTTTATTAAATATTGTCGAACTAACAGCGGTCGTGTAAATACGGAACTCTCTTTAAATGATAAAGAAGAAAAAAATCTGAGCTTATCTCGAAAACCCCCTCTTCAGTTTTAGTTTGATTAGTAAAGAACTAAGAGTTGGTTTTAAAAAAAAGGCTGCTAATGCTGTCTCAACAGACTAAGAGCTAATACAACAATATTCCAACAATAGCCTGCATCGTAAATCATGTATAACACGAACTTGCTGTTAACGCGTTTAATTGTCGAAATTGTCAGTTTCATTATTGAAAGGCAGCTATATCAAATTTAAATCAGTTATGCATAATTACATTTATTGGCAATGTACTGTATTTGATTTTTATATATCCTTTACTATTTCATCTTTAATATTTTGGTAAAAAGTTCCTTCATAAGACCGATCATTTTAGGACTGTTTAGTGTCATTATTGCGCCTTTTTCGATAAATTGTAAGGCATACCCCAGTATTTCTCAATGGAATATGTTCAGTTACATTTAGTTTAAAATTAGAAAAAGTTTCACATACATAAAATTCGTGCAATATCTGTTTTTGGTTTTTCTTATATATCAAGTCTTATTTAATGAAAACTGACCGAAGCTATAAAAATTTAACAAAGGTGACGTAGACAAAATTGAGGATGTGTTTCAGATATTTGTGCACATCTAAACATCTTACTTTTGAACTAAAAGACTAGAGGAAAATTAGATAGTTAGCTGCACTTACCGCCAACTCTTGGGCTACTCATATCGAATTTTGGAACACACCCATTGCACCCAAAGTGCCGCGAACCATGGACCCTTGGATCCACAGTCTGGTACCCTAGTTATTAGGACACCCCCTGGCTCCCTTGAGCTTGAACCAAAAGCTACTAGCATACATGTATTGACGATTTCAGTCTGTACATGAAGGGGCAAAATTCCCACCAAGTTCCCCCACAAAAACTAATTTTTGGATTCAAATCAAGTTTCTGTCTTCGTGTTACGCTCCTTTTTAGTAAAACATAACTCTATACATCGTCGCTTAGCAACAAAACTATCACGATATTGTTGTTAGGCCAACAATGTTGTTTATGTTGGACACGCAATGTACGTGTTAATTTGTGGTTTAGTTTTTATTTTTTTTATTTTTAATAACTTCGGTGATATAAAAGCAAACTGATTTTAATTCAGAAACTTCTAAAGATAGTGTTAAAAAGTTTCCAGTCAATCAAACAAACTCATTACTGTTCTGTTGCATACAAATGTGGTAACTTATTTAAGGATTCAGAAGAGCTAAAGTAATAGGTGTTTCCTAATATTTTTCAACACTATTAATGGTTATATAATAGAGCAACTCTTGCACCTGGAAATGATGCTGTTCATGACACAAATGATCAATTATTACAAAAGGTTCCCGGACAGGAATTCACCTACAACTTAAATTGTCAGTGTTCCAGTTACAGATGATGTTGTAAGTTACCCAACTTAACTCCCAAATTCTCTTTAACCACCAAGAATGCCAGGTTACATTCTGAAATTGAAGATTGGCTCATCAATAATGTTGATGAAAAATCTTAATCCTCCAAAATTATATAATGGCACAAGATTAGTTGTTAAGACTTTACTACCACGTGTTAATGAAGCAACGAGTACAACAGGTCATGTCAAAGGAGAAGATGTCGACTTTATTCAAATAATTCCTTTGCTACCAAGTGATTATCTCTTTGAATTTGGGAGGCTCCTATTCCCAGTTACAATCTGTTTTGCAATGTCAACTAATAAGGTCAAAGTTTAAAGGTTGCTGGATTGTTCCTAAAGCAGCCTTGCTTTTCACATGGTCAGTTCTACGTAGGATGTTCAAGGTTTGGATCTCATCAAAACCTCTTTATATTGTCAAAAGAAGGAACAACGGTCAATGTGGTATATCAAGAAGCTTTAATTTAGATTGTGTAATTTTTGTTTTGAAAATCAAAGGTTTAGATAAAAATGAAAATGTTTTTTAAATAAATATACTTAAAAGTGTGTGTATGTATGAATGTATAGTACCCCGGTAGAACAGCGGTAAGTCTTCGGATTTACAATGCTAACATCAGGGGTTCGATTCCCCCTCGGTAGGCTCAGCAGATGGCTATAATATAATATAACACTATATATAAAGTATATGCATTCCTACAATGACATAACCCTGAACAACCAACAAGATGTGACTGGGTTATAGGATCTTTGACATAACCCTGAACAACAACAACAAGATGTGACTGGGTTATAGGATCTTTGACATAACCCTGAACAACAACAACAAGATGTGACTGGGTTATAGGATCTTTGACATAACCCTGAACAACAACAACAAGATGTGACTGGGTTATAGGATCTTTGACATAACCCTGAACAACAACAACAAGATGTGACTGGGTTATAGGATCTTTGACATAACCCTGAACAACAACAA